GGTTTCTACATAACATCTGAAAAAGCTTTTTTTTTTAAAAAAAAAAAAAGAGAGGGTGGAGGGAGGGGTTCTGGAATGCATATATGGAGCTGGTTCTGTCTCTCATGCTGGACATAATGCACAGATGCTGCAACATTTGAACTTGAGCACAAAGGTGTTTCCATGCATGTTGCATGGTAGATTATCTTTTACTTATACTGACAAAGAAGGTTTATGGGCAGCATGCAACATGCTGCTTCCCAGAGTTGAGGTGGTAAGCATGACTCCAGCCTGGTGATCCCAGAGTTGTTGGTGAATATACCTCTGCCATGTTGGAAAGCCAAATGGCACAGAGCCAGCTGCCAAAGCCACCAGTCCTAGTCATGCCCACTTAACATTCTAAAAATCTCTCCTGGTTGGAAAAGGATTACTGATATGCAATAAGGACAGATTCAGACAAATGGCCTCTAAACAGATTAGAGTGTGTTTGATAAATATACATGGAATTGAGAGAGAGAGATCATAGAGGATAGACTAAATAATAGATAAAAATTAATTTAAGGTTAATAAACTGAGGTTCTTAATGGAGAAATAGAGTAGTAAAAATTATAATAGGCTATGTAAAGATATAAAACACTCAGAAAGTCTGGATTATGTATATTACTGTGTTTACATTGAAATTTTTCATGGTTAATGAACTAACTGCAGAAAGACATTTGATTTTAGGGGTTGATAAGCTAAACCAACATATATATATTTTAAAGGTGTCTTGACCTCAAAATTTAAGTCTAAGGACATGTTATTTTGGAAAAGAGGTACTGCTTTTGTTTCCACAGAAGGTAAAAAGCTATGGATTCCTTCCAGGCTAATATGGTTTGATCAAAAAAACCCACCCTGAAACAGCTTCAAAACAGCTGGCTCAGATGATGCAACCTCACAGACTACTACAGCTGAGATTTAACAGTATTTCTAAATTTTCTCAGGATCCCCATAAGATTAACAGCACTCCTAATCAGCAGGAAGTAGTCTAGAAAACTAGACCCATATCCCTAAATATCATTTATAAATGTTTGTTTTCATTTAAAGGGAGTTAATTATAAATGGTTAATGATCACAGTCAATTTCCTTATGAAGAAAACAAGGGGATATGACATATAAAAGAATATTTTACATTGGTACGGGTTTTGGTTTATTGATTAAGGTCAATTTTGTTATACTGTATATATTTCTACTCTTGTTTAAGGTATTCTGTTTATGCAGTGAGACACATATGCTCCTGGCAACATCAGTTACTTCAGAAAGGATGGTGGGCATCAAAGAAACTCATTATGGAGTTTGCCTTCAGTGTGGTAGGGCTAACCATTTGGGCAGGAAACTGCTCTTGTCCAGACTGCTTAATGGTATGTTACATGAACTAGACATTAGGACCCACAGGAGAGTGACTGCTAAACTTGCCTAGATAAGGTGGGATGGTCTTTCAGGGTTCCTGCTTCACAGAAGAACTTCCAGACATAAGAAAACATCTGAAGAACATTGCCATACAAGACAGATCTTCAAATTTACTGCTTCACTGAGAAGTCTGCCGGGCATTCTAGACCTATAGGCTGAAGATAGATGCCCCAATATTGCAGAGGAACCTTGGATGACTGTCCAGGCAGCCATATGTCTCTGCTATTTCTAGAATTTTAGAAGTTGCTTGCAATGTACTTCCTGTTTACTTAGGTAATATTATATCTTTCTTGGGTCTTTGATGGAGTTGAACACTAGATACTTACTATTATAATTTTCCTTAGTTATAATGAAAGATAAATTAAATATAAAATTTTAGACTCATAAAGATAGGTTAGATTATAAAGTAGTTTCTTTAGTTTTACCAGATAAAATACACTAAATATTATATTTGTTTCTTGATAACTGACTTGTTATATATAATTTTACTATGTTAAATTTAAAATCTTCCTTTTTAATTAGACAGAAAAGGGGATGTCCTTCTGTATGCTGCAAATATATGTTGCTTTTTTTTGGTTGATGAGCAAAGCTGTTTCTGCCAGTGGCTGGGCAGAATATAGCTAGGTGGGAAATCCAAAGATGCAGACAGAAGGAAAGTGAAGTCAGAGAGATGCCATGTAGCATTTGAAGGAGTAACATGCTGGAGCATTAAGTGTAAATCACAGCCTTGTGACAATACATACATTAATAGAAATAGGTGAATTTATATAAGAGAGCTAGCCAGTAATATGTCTGAGCCATTGGCCAAACACTGTAATGGATACTAAGCCTCAAAATGTTATTTCATAAGCAGCTGTGGAAACTGACAGGAGTGAAAGAAAACTTCCAATTACAGCCTCCAGTGCTGGGATTAAAGGCATGAGCCTTCACACTTGACCATTTTCTTTTTAAGAAAAAAATGTCACAAGCTCACTTAGACTTCTTATTTTAAGTTAGAGCTATGATTTATTCCAAATTAATTAGGGTGGGTTTTTTGTATATGCAATAAAGTATGACTTAAGTTTTGCCTAACAGAATACATAACATTATTTATTGTCAAGTTTTACTGAATTTTCTTGGCAGTTTGTGGTAAACAAATAGATACTAATCACACAGGTGAAATTTTTGCATTGGATTCTCTATTAGTTTTAAAGGTTTTGCCCAACTATATGTGAGTATGTGCTACAAGTTGCTGATGCTTTGAAATCAGGCAGATTTGCTTCTCATGCTTTCTGTTTATTTTATCTATTCATTTTATTTTTCATTTCTTTGTACATATATGTATATATTATTGGGAGCACACTAGCGGTACATGAGGAGGCCAGAGGACAACCAGGGGGAGTCTGCTCCCTGTATCATATGGTTCTTCAGGGTCAACCTCAGGGTGTCAAGCTTGATAGCACATGCCTTTATAAGCTCAGCCATGTTAGCTGGCCTTTACCTACTTCTTAATTAAAAAAATTAAATTTACTTTTCTAGGTCTTTTGCTTTTCTTAGAAAATTTAAAGTACTTGTAGCAATATTTGTATGGTTGTAGTTTGATTTGTATTACATTTAGTCTATTAATAAACTTATAGAGAATTGAACCTAAACATTTAAAATTCCAGCCCATTGACAAATACCTACCAACTCAGGTTTATAATTGTCTTTCTCCAGTGGTCAGTTCTTTTTAGTTCATTTTCAGTAATGTGTGAAGTCTCAGTTAGTTTTCTAAGTTTATTCTTAGTTGTCTTTGGGTATTGTTTTTATCACGGCTAATTTTCCTTGTTTATTGCTAGCACAGATAAATATAGTTAAAGTATCTTGATGCGGATCACACTATGTTGCTAATTTTTCTTAGGAAGTCTAGTGACCTTTTATAGATCTCTACGTATTTTCTAAAGAGATGGTTATTTTGTGTGTGACTGAAGAAAACTTACCAGTTTGCCAATCTGCAATTACAATCTGTATGCTGTCCCCTTACTCAATTTTTTTTCACTGTATAATTTTCTCTGTGGGAAGGTATTTAATTGGAATTTTAATTTCCCTAACAAATATAGGGAATTTTGGCTAATTGGCTTCATGAGTCTATATTGTAAGCCTGTGGGGCTTGAAAAAAGAGAAATCTCTTGCTGTTGTTTTGGAATCCCACAGCTTCCTGCAATGGACTGGTGCCCAAGCATGGCCACGTTGCCAGCTCTAAATTCCTGTTTGTCTTGTAGAAACATTGTCATTTGTTTTTCTGTTTCTTCTTCAGTCTGTTTTGTAATTTATGTCTTTGTATAAAATTTGTTAGATTACAGGAATTATTATCACATACTTTAAAGGAATATCTTGTTCTTTCAGTGGCTACATTATTGCTAGCATTTATCTTTTCATGACCTTTTGGTCTTGATAATGGAGTCATCTCTTAGTTTTGTTATTGTTCAGTGTAGTTGGAGTTTAACTATGTTAATCTTTTTAGAAAACATGTTTTCCCTGTTTTAACTTTTATTTATTTTTTAAAATTCCTTATAGATGCATCTCACGTGTTGGGTAAATACTCCCTGCTGCCCCGTTCTTCCTGTTGTCCCTTTTCTCACTGCTCCCAACTGACTTTTGTCCTCTTTGTTTCCCTAGACAATTTCATTTAACAGTACCAAGCATGATTTTATGTGACCCTATAAAGCCAAGGAACTGTAAATGAGAGGCAGCAGATGCTATTTGTCTTTCAGAGACTGGATTATTTTGCTTAATCTGGTCGTTTCCTGTGGCATTCATTTTTCAACAAACAATGTAACCTCATTCTCCTTTGCGGCTGGCAAGCGTTGTTTCCCATGGCTCTGTTGTGGACACCTACTTCATTTTTTAAAAATTTCTGCTTTACTGTTGTTACTCCTATTAGATTTAACTTTCCTTTAGTAGGCTTGTCTTAGGGTTTCTATTACTGTGAAGAGACACCGTGATAGCACTCACATTGAAAACATTTTTTTGGGGGGGCTGGCTTGCATTTCAGAGGTTTAGTCCATTGTCATCACCGTGGGAAGTATGGTGGCACACAGACAGACATGGTGCTGGAGAGACAGACGGCTGACAGTTATACGTCTGGATCAGCAGGCAGTGGGAAGAGAGAGTGACACCAGGCCAGCCTTGACCATCTATCTGAAACCTCAAAGCTCAACTCCAGTGACAGACTTCCTCAGAAAAAGGCCACACCTCCTGATAGTGCCACTCACTATCAGCCTGCAGAGTCCATGTTCATTCAAACCACCATAAGCCTATTAATGGGAAATGTTAATTTAGGGATTTTTATCTTTCTCCTTTCTTTTACCTTCTTCTTTTACTTCTCTCTCTCTCTCTCTCTCTCTCTCTCTCTCTCTCTCTCTCTCTCTCTCTCTCTCTCACACACACACACACACACACACAGACACACACACAAACAGTAGGAACAAGACCTCACTGTTACTAGAAATTTTGGGGAGCCCACATTGGATACAACATATGCACTTTTTATCTTACATGGTGTCTCAGTCATGGTCCTATTGCCCGTGAGAAAGCATCATGAGCACAGTAACTTTTATAAAAGAAAGCATTTAATTGGGACTCACAGTTTCAGAGGTTTAGTCTACTATCATTGTGGTAGGCGAACAGGGGAGCACACAGGCAGACATGGTGCTGGAGAAACAGCTGAGAGTTTTACATCTGGATCCATGAGCAGCAGAAACTGAGTGACACTGGGCCTGGCTTGTTCTTTTGAAACTTCAAAGCCCACCCTCAGTGACACAGTTCCTTCAACAAGGTCACACCTCCTAACCCTTCCCTGATGATTAAGCATTCAAATATACTATGGGAACCGTTCTTATTCAAACCACCACACACGTGGTGTCCTGTGTCAGTTAAGACTTGTTGATATAGAATGCTGTTTCTATTGCCCACGTACCCTCAATGAAAACTTGCATCCATCTGGAGACATGCCTCTATAAGAAAATGACTTTGCCAATTTCCCATGTGTCTGCAGTCTTGAACTCCTTGACATGGCCAGATCAGCACCATACCATTAATCATGTACTCCTCTACTCCCTATATTTCCCCTTAGTTATTCCGTAGATACTCAAGATGGGTGCTCTTATTTACTCCAAGGAAGGTTCATTGCAAGGTTGAACACCAGACTATAAAGTAGATAAGAAGAAAGAACATAAGAGCTATGCCCAACTAAGACAAAAGGAATGCTTTAATAAATTAAAGAGATTAAGTCCTTGAAGCTCATTGAGTTTTTATAGTATTAATAAGAAAAGTAGTCTGAACATAAACCCTTTTTTGCATTATTCTAGCATAATTGGTCCAAATACCCAGGAGGTGGGCCACAGTTAATTCCCAATTACACCTTCTAGTTATGAGGAACTGCTGACACACACGTGTTGGCAATCCATGTTATATATTACATTCTGTCTAAATTGCTAAATAGTTGAAAGGAGTTCATTAGGACTCCAGGTGGTTAGAATGTCTCCTCCCCCAATAGGTGGAGGGGTAATCATTACTGACTCATACTGGTATGGACGAATGGGAGCAAGCTACCAGACGAAAAGTCAGTGCCTCGGGATAAACGTCCACTAGGCTTGTCTCCTGACCAGACTTACCTGCATAGATATGATTACCAGACACAGCAGAAAAACAGCCTTGGGTCATTTTCCAATTCCAGGCCTCTTCACACCTGGACACAGGATCTTCACTGGACCAAAAGTGACTATTTCACCCTTTAGGGGAAGAAACAGTACAACGTTGTCCCCCAACATTACCATGAGGGGTAGGTCAAACCATCTTCCGCTCATGATATCTATTTGGTAGAGGTAAGAGTTAGTGGGTTGACTGCTTTGCTTCTCTCACCTTCAGCTTGAAATTTGAACCACAATATCTATCTCTGTTTTTTTTTTTTATTTATCATGCTACATGCAAAGGCCACCAAGAATATGGAACTGGTTTTTGTTTTTTGGTGCCTTTCCTTTGTTTAGAGACAGCCTGAGTAGTTGGAATTTGGAGAGAGAGAGAGGGAGAGGGAACAGGCTTCCAGGACCATGCAGGGATGAGCTGGAAGCTCCAACTGAGCAACATTTATTAACTTCTTGAAGTTGTACTGTCCAAAAAGAAGAAGCGTTCAGTAGTATGACTTAATACTAAAAATATTTTTTAAAAAGATGTAAAAGAGAAAATGGCAGTCCCTAAAGATCACAAAACAAAATAATTTGGGCAGTTGACAAGTAGAAAAATCTTTAAGTTCTGTTTCTTAGGTTAAGTGTTTACATTAAAGAAAAACATTTAGCCGGGCAGTGGTGGCACTAGCCTTTAATACCAGCACTCGGGAGGCAGAGGCAGGCGGATCTCTGTGAGTTCAAGGCCGGGCTGGACCGACAGCCTCCAAAACAATACAGAGAAACCATGTCTCATAAAACCAAAAAATAAAAAATAAATAAAAATAAAAAGAGAAAAATTTATATACGCTGAAACTCAAACATATTCAAGGGTAAAATATATTTTCCTTTGGATTACCTAAAACAAAATCTTAAAGTATATTTCAGATCACTAAAAATATAGCCAAGTCCATCACAATATAGCATAAAAGACAATGAACAATTATAGACTATTTTAAATTAACAGTAATAAATCATTACATCAGATTGGTTTACAACTAAAACCAAAACAAAAGCCCAAAATTTTCATGATGTATAAAATGTACATTTCAAAATACTGTATGTAATTTGACAAAATTTTCATCATAATTTACCCAATTAATTAATTATTAATTAAAGATTTTGGTAATAAAAGAAATTCTGTTTCATGAAAAGGTCATGGCATGAGAAAAAGGAAGTTCAGGAGGAATGAAAGGCCAAGCCCACTTTCTGTTCCAAGAGTGAACTTGTAACTAATAAAAGCCTGGAGTCAGATATAGAGGGAAATGCTGAGAGATCAGGGAGACTAAGGAGCAAAACCTCAGGCACCTTACCTCTTCAACTTCCCAACCAAAAAGAGACTGAGCTCTGGTCTCCTCCAGCCTTATTACTTCCTCCCTCTGCCCGCCATATCACTTCCTGTCTGTCTGTACAGACCTCCAGACATCTATGGTTAATTAGTGGCTAGCTCTGCCCTCTGATCTTCAGGCAAGTTTTATTTGTTAGAGTATAGACAAGATATCACCACATGAACTGCTGATTCAGGTGACATTTGAAACATTTTTTCCTTCATAATGTCTGCCCAACTATATCTGCTCTGGACCCGAGTAGAACCACATTTTACTCATTTGTTTTAAACTCTGAGAATAAGGAATATTCTTCATTTCAAACTGAAATCAAACCAAAACCACTCTTCTGGCAGGCTCATGGGTGGGTGGAGACTACCATACAGTTTAGAGAGCAATGGGTCCATCATCTCATGACATAACATTAATATCTGACCTCTAACCTATTCTTAGAGAAAGGCACTATCCCATATCATACCACTATTATACTGAAATCAGAGGCAAAGGTCAAGTTTGCTTCTTTAAATGGAAATCAACTTTTCAACTTTGACCACATGAAGCACCAAAATGATTGTATCTGTTGAAGCAGCTCTGTGGTTTCTTCCACAGGATAGGTGTAATTTAGTTACCTGATAGAAAGCTATATTCAATTTGTGTTTACAAGAAAACTGAACCCAAGGGGAGTGATCTTCAGAGTCTAGGAGAAGGAGGAAAATTCTGGAAGGAGTTGGGTGAAAAGAAATCAAATTATGTAATTTAGTCATGACATCCCTGCCCAATAATGAGTTTGGACAACTAGGCATAATGAGGAAGGTAACCCTCCTCAGACTGATCAGTTAGCCTCAGAAGAAACAGCAGAGAGGACATGCAGTCCTGGGCTAGTGTGGCTGGCTACTAACAGCCATCATGGAGACATGAAGATCAAGGAAGGATAAGTTTAACTGGAGTGAGTGGGAAATATGAACCACATGGTCTCTGTATCAATTAAAAATGACAACAACTCACATGCTATCTGGACAGTTACCCTGGGATCCTCTTTGGTAATCTAGATTCTTTTGTTGGAAGCATAGGTCCCAGGGCAACATCAGTCTTTAGCCACTAGGCCCAAAAGATCCAAGAGATTTTCTTGTGGAAGATGAACTTAGGAGATTTGAGGCAGAGGAGTAGTTGACCCTCTAGTGTACTGTCTGTCCACAGTTTGGGCTTGGGTCCTGGTGACAGATGAGGTGAAATGCTGTTCTTTGCCCAGTGACCAGTATTTCCACACTTGAATCAAGCTTCAGGTGGTGTCTGTTTGTGCCCTGTCTTCTTTGGAGGAGGCCTTGGGGCTACTCACAGAAGTTGATATTTCTGTCAACATAGAAGCCCTTTCTGGTCTTTCCTGCTCCTCCTGCCCATTAAGACCTTAAATGCCATATTCAACAGATGTCTCTTTGAGGGGTGTAGGGGCCATCATCTAGAAAGATTTTTTCTACCATCAGAGGCTAATTGGGAAAGAAAGTGAGAGCTGAGGACAGGCTTGTCCTCTGGAGAATTAGTATCTAGCTTGGTGAGTCAGTGGAGGAAGCAACGTTTTCACCTGTCCTCTGGGTGACATCCCTGTTTGTTGAAATTTACCACTTTATGGGAGGCCTTTTGGATACCTGCCTGGAGAAAAGAAATCATTTTGTCTTGAGCCACTTAGGCCAGACAGCATTTAATAAGGCCCAATAGTATCTCAAAGTCAAGGGAGGAAAGAGATTAGAGCAAGCAGATGAGAACATGGGTTAATTTAGGTTGTAAGAGCTAGTTACTAACAAGCCTAAGCTATTAGACTAACAGTTATAATTAACAGTAAGTCTCTGTGTGCTTATTGGGAGCTGGCTGCCAGGACAGAGCTGGCAGTGCCAGTGAAAAACTCTGCCTATGTCCTCCAAGTCATCTGCTGCCCAAATCTTTAGGGGGACTTTCTGATTGGTCTTTTTCCATTCTTAGTGCAGCTGGAGATGGTATTGCAAAGAGACAAGCATCCAGAACCTGTAGATGGTGAAAGGGCAATGCTGGGGTCAATGAGCCCCAAGGTCTCCAGCCAGCTGTGCAGACCGAGGTGGTCCAGGGCCCCAAGCAGGCACAGCTGGCCTGATATGGCAGCCAGCAGTGTGATGAACATTAACCACACCATATCACAGCACAGCGTCCACTTCTTGGTGTGAGATCTGGGTCTCTTAGATGCTCTGGGCGAGGTCAGAGCCACTGTTTCACTGCAGACTCAGTATGGCACAGTAGCCGGTGTTACAGGGCAGCCATTTCTTCAGGCAGCTCTGTGCACAGCACCCAGTGTGCTGGTGCAGCCCCATGGTGACAACAAGGTCTCCCCATTTGCTCCCACGTGGCAGATTTCACAGAAGGGACAGTCACTCAGTGTGTCCAAGCCTGAATGACTCTTGAGCAGCTGATCATCCCTTGAGGTCACCTGTGTCCCATACTGGGGTGTCTCAAGGCTTGCTACCTTCACAACCTTGGAGAATGTACAGCTGTCAGAGCATTTGCTAGAGAGGCAGGGAGGTGGCCACAGTCACCTGTCATCATGAACTCAGGGAGCTTCAAGTCCTCAGGGTCTGAGACCCATAGTCCCAGAGTCCGGATTAGCGGCCAGGCTGGGTATCTATGCAAGCCTCTGGGATCCCCTGGTACCTCAGTTGCTTTCTTCTCATATATAGATATAGATATATAGATATATTTTAAAACCAAGTAAAAAAGAAAAGTCTTTTCTGTATATAAAAGATAAGAGGAGATTAATTGCCAGTCAACAAACTCTGTAAGAAATGTTAAATGGAGTCACTTGGATAGAAAAAGAAAAGGCATTATGTACAATTGTGTGGTCTACAAAGCTATAACACCTGGGTACTGCATGTGTGGCTTCATGTAAGTTATCTGGACTTTGTCCCAGAATGCTTGACACATTGCTTATTATTGTATACTAGAAAACGTCTCTTTTGATGCTTGGCTGGCATTTTTCTGCTAATTAGTATTTCTTTCACTCAAAATTACTAATCTTTTGGGAATATCTTCTGTTTTTCCTATTGTGTATTTTTTTCTGTTCTTCCTGCGGTTTGGAGGACAGAAACCAGACATGCATACTAGGCTAATGCTCTACAAATGACCTACACTTCTAGTGCTTCCTTTCTTTCTCTTTTTTATTTATTTTATTTTATTTTCCAGTTTAAATTTAGATAAGAAACAAGGTTGCTTCACAAGTCAGTTCCAGGTCCCTCTCCCTTTCCCTCCCCTCCTCCCGTGCTCTCCCCCAATCCCCCCCGTTATCCCCTCATTTCCCCAGGGAGGGTGAGGCCCTCCATGGGGGTGTCCATAGTCTGTCATTTCATATAGGGCAGGGCCTAGACCCTTCCCCAAGAGTTCAGGGTGAGAGTGCACCTCACATTGTTCTATGGGAGTCCAAAGTCCGTGTGTATACTTGGGATGGGTACTGATCTGCTGCCCAAGGCTCAATAGATTCCCTAGGCCTCTTCACTGAGACCCAGATTCAGGGGGTCTTGATCAGTCCCATACTGGCTTCCCAGGCTGATGCCTGAGATTCAAGAGTTAACCTTTGTCTGGTCATCTTTTTAAATTAAAAATTTAACTCACAGAAGTGTTTTATATGCATATGTGTGTATGTCTGTGTGTGTGTGTGTCTGTGTGTGTGTGTGTGTGTGTATACATATGAGACCACTCATCCTGCCTGATTTTTCATGTTCAGAATCATCTTTCTTTATAGGCCTATTCTTTTTTATTGTTAGAAAATTTCATAATGCATATAATGTGTTTTGATCAAATCCATCCCCTTTCTGCCCTCTTCAATTCCCCTAATTTTCTGTCATCATTTTCTGACCTTCATGACTTCAGTTTTACTTTTTAAAAAACCAATTGAGTCCACAGTACTAACTGTATGTGTATGGGTATAGAACCATCCACTGGTACATGGATAGCTTCTCAGGGGCTGCAG